ATTCGAATGTATCTTCATATTTTCATTTTATAGTTCTTTTCTTCAAAATTGTCTTCATATCTTCAATCTCTATAGTTCTGTTTCTTAATATTCTTCTCCGCATCTTGAATCTTTAAATTTCTGCCACTGAAAAGCTAATGTAACATTAAAATTAACTAGGCCTAACTTACAACCTTCATTTCTTCATCTCCAAGGTTTCTTCGTGCCTTCAATGTTCATATCTCCTTCTGAAAAATGTCTTCGTAACTTGAATCTTCATAATTCTGCTTCCAAATGTAGACTTCGTATCTTCATCTTTATTCTTCTGCATTCGATTGTATCTTCATATTTTCATTTTATAGTTCTTTTCTTCAAAAATGTCTTCATATCTTCAATCTCTATAGTTTTGTTTCTTAAAAATCTTCTCTGCATCTTGAATCTTTATATTTCTCCCACTGAAAAGCTGATGTAACAATAAAATCAACTAGGCCTAACACACAACCTTCATTTCTGCATCTCCAAGGTGTCTTCGTGCCTTCAAATGTTTAGATCTCCTTCTGGAAAGTGTCTTCGTAACTTGAATCTTCATAATTCTGCTTCCAAAAGTAGTCTTCGTATCTTCATCTTCAATCTTCTGCCTTCGATTGTATCTTCATATTTTCATTTTATATTTCTGGTATTGAAAAGTATCTTCATATCTTCAATCTCTGTAGTCCTGTCTCTGAAATTTTCTCCGCATCTTGAATCTTTAAATTTCAGCCACTGAAAAGCTAATGTAACATTAAATTTAGCTAGGCCTAACTTACAACCTTCATTTCTGCATCTCCAAGGTGTCTTCGTGTCTTCAATGTTCAGTTTTCCTTCTGAAAAGTGTCTTCGTAACTTGAATCTTCATAATTATGCTGAAAGTAGTCTTCGAATCTCCATCTTAAAGTTCTGCCTTTGATAACTGTCTCCATATCTTCATCATCGCAGTTCTGCTTTTAAAAAGTATCTCCATATCCACAATCTTTATAGTTCTGCCTCTGGAAATCAACTTCTATCTCTATAGTTCTGCGTCTGAAAAGCTAAGAATAACATTATTAATAACTAATTCCAGTTTTTAAACTGAAATTACGCCAAAGACAGTCATTTATAACGAATAAAGAAAAATGAAAAAAGCCATGGCATGCCCTGTTTAATTTGTTCTTCCATTGTCGCTCTCGTAAACTATATCTTCGTTTCCTGTTGAAAATATTTTAAAGAAATTGCATAGAATAAATGATTATGACAAAACGGATAGCTAAATAAAGATATAGCATGGTAGATAAAATAATTCATTCCCAAATATAATATATCAATAATAAACATAAAACATGTACATAATTATAGTAATATGATTGTCTCAAGAAATTAGTTCACAAACATTAAAATAAATATTTATGAAATTTGCCGAAGTAGGCTGGAACTGCCATCACACATGGGCTGCCAAACAGCCATATTTGTAACATAAACACGTAAAAAAGATTGCTTGTCACTTAATTTGAAAAAAAAGAAGGCAACGACATTCAACCGTAATGTCACGTTTAATGCTAATGATTTGAAAATAAAAATGAAAGGACCTCTATCTGACCATCCTATTACCGGAATCTATGAATATTTTATATCAGAATTGACAAAACCAAAATCGCCTAATTATGATTGCAATGCTGTGTTTACCTCTCCCTCCCAGGGTCCACCACCATTTCCCAGAACCCCCAACCCCCTCCCTACCCCTGTATATGTAAGTGTATTTTGTAATGTTTTTGAAGAAGTTGACGTTGAAGATGATGAGACAAAGCCATGCCGGCCTGGTTTGTCACAAGATTTCTCACGTTGAATAGGCAGTGTTGATAAGAAGATATGAAGTAATAAAAAGGTTTGTGTTATGGCGGCATTGACAACCATAGATAGACTATCTGGTTTTTGCCACAAACTGGTAAATAAATATTGTTAGAATCTTCAATTTAACACACAAGTGATATATATATATTGAAATAATATATATATATATATAACCATTTTTTGTATACCAATTCGTCAGGACAACATTGGTATAATTTAGGTATGACAAAAATGTCGATCGCCGTTGCCTTTACGCTCAAGTATTAGACTGTTGCAGATATAAATGTTTAAAATTAGAATGATTGAAAGAAAATTTATGCAAATATAAACAATACTGTGTTGTGATAAAAATTCCACAAGAGAATTCCATAAAATTCATTAATGCAATATATTTCAATGAAAACAATTTCATATTCATCTTGCTATGACATCAAATATGGGAATTGTATTGTAAAGTAATAAACACAATTGCTTTGATTTGTAATCAAGAATCTGTTTGCAATCATCACATAAACAGTTGGGTCGACCCATGTTAAAGCTCTGAATGTAATCCATTTGTATGCATACAAATATGATCAATGTATGTATGTCACCGAGTAGAGTAAAACAGCCTTTATTTATATTTAAAGTCTTTTTCACATAAGTGTGGTTCAATGCATTTTATTTGTGAGCCAATCATAGTCATCTTTGATGAAACTCACATTTATATTTGAATACTTGTTGTATTTTCAACTTAAATTTTTTTTCTGTGAACAGAGAATGTCGTCAAGATTCCATTTCCATTAAGTGAGGAAACCTGAAAAATTATATATAGAAATAATCATGACGCCGAAGGTAAGGCATTCTCTTAGAAATCGTAGTAGCATCATGAATAACCAATAATAAGCAAAAAAATAGTCTTATCTCATCAATTGATAACCTTCGATCGCATCTGTGTTTTAATTCTTTGCAGTAAAAATGTACAATGGGTAGGGCTGGGCATTTTGTATCTAATAGTAAATTATTCGAAACGGTAAGAGAAAAATTTCGAATTGCTGCCTTCTTGTTTTTTTTCTTTTCTTTGTTTTATTCAAGCCATATTTTTTCAAAGAATTCAGATTATTCTATTATTTTTCTATAGTCTGATATTAATGAAATTTTTATCATGTGTGGACGCTCAACAATCTGTTTAAGACTCAGGTCTGCCGAATCTTTTTCGTCTCGCGGGCCACTTTCACGTTACGAAACTCGTTGCGGGCCGCAAACGTTTGTACAAGACATTAATACCAGATAAGTCCTGATTTCGGTGTAGGTAATTTACATAATAAATGAAAGGCAAGTTATTTAACATAAAATCAATCTATTTAATAATTGCTTTCTGGTTACTGAGTAGGCAGTACTAGTAGTACTGGCAAATTATTCGAATATCAAGTCGAATATTAGAATAACAGACCACTATTCGAATATCCGGTAACACTGGGTGTGGACATGAAACTTTTTGACGACCACACGAGAAGACACACATCACTTCGAAATTGAGTGTTATATTTGCGTTATAGTGTTTTTATTCATTCATTTTCAGTAGCTGTGAAACTGCATCAATGTTTAAATGAGCATAATGAGCGCCAATGTCACGGGAATATCAATTTTAAGTGGGTCGTTTCGTAAAATTTCGTAAAACACCAATACTGAAGTAACATTACAAAGATTTCTGGGCGAATAGCGTATATAATATACTGATTTGTGACCAATATGCAGCAATGCAATTAAGTCAATTTCATCAGCATTATTGACGGACACATTTTCGAAATCTCATTTAGCGCAAACATTAGATAAAAAAAAATACGAACATAAAAGGACAACGAGTCCCGGGACCAGTCCCCAAGATATTGTTGACTTTTTATTATACTTTGGCGATAAAGACGATCAAAGCAGACACGCAAGAAAACAATCAGAATGAAATTAATTTGCAAATTTAGGTTCTAACCTATGCTTGCGCTAAGCGTTCGTCCTCAATAATCGCACAATATATTTCGAGTTCGTCGAACTGAACGCACAGTTCTGCGAGAAATAAAAAAGACTGACGTCAATGTCCACCGGGGTGCAATCACAGACGTAATAATAAGAACCGCCATTTGAATGTAGATAGATGGCACGAATAATCAGACCAAAATCACAAAACATACTTGAGCCTATATACCGAAATACAACATGGTAAAAACATAAGTCTGCTTACGAACTTATAGGGCGGGCCGCAAAAAAACAGTCCAGCGGGCAGCGGGTTGAGCCTTGGTCTATTTGATGTATTTTATGTTTTTAGTAATCCATTTGTTGTCAGGACCAATTACAATAAAAAAGTTGCATACAATTATATGTCTCCCAAGTAATTCGAAAATATTATTGGATTCGATTCTAAATCATCAGGTATTCGAAAATGTCCAGAGCCCTAACAATGGACTTATTACTTGAGATTTTATACGATGACGCAATCGGTATTTATGGGAGTCGAACCCATTTGAACTCATTTTGATTTCGCATTTATTATGATAATGAAATACAAAAGAAAATGGTGGATACCTGTGTTTACTAAGGAAATAAGTGCGAAAGTGCTTTACAGTTTAAATAAGTGCTTTGACCGATTTCAACACGTTCGGCGCCTTAGCTTTTATGTAACTCAATCCAAACAGCATAGATACACGCAAAAGCGCTCTTTCAGCTAATATTGCAAATTGAAGAGGAGCCTTTCTGTTATCAGAATTTCGTTTAAACCAACATTTCTTAACCTGGGGTGAATATACCCCTGGGGATAAATTTTGTTATTTTTAGGGATAAATCTCGTTATTCTGAAAAAGCTTTGGAAAAACAAAAACCGCACCTATTTGTTTGTTTTGGTACGAGAAACATTGTGTTATTGTTAGCTGTTAGGATAACTTGCGAGAAATATGTATTAGCCCATGGCCGATGTATATTAGTCTATTATTGCATCACAATATCGCGACTCTTGCCGAAGGTGGTTCTGGCAACCGTAATCGAGGCCGACTGCGGATTGTCGTAAAAGCAGCGTAGAAAATTTATTGAAAAAAAAAGAAGGTTAGCTTTCAAGATCCGAATATTTAGGACTCCCTCTCTATTCTGCCCCCAATCAACTTCCCCACCACAACACTCTCTTTCTCCAATTTCATTATTACCTCCTCACGTCACTCTCCCATCCAACACTGTCTCCTTCCTTTCATACTTACTCCCTCCCGTCACTCTCTCCCCACCGCCATGGGGTAGAAAGAAAAGGGAGAGATAGAGATATATATTCCTTCACGTGCACAAGTCCATGTAGCGCCGGTTAGTCATGCATGACATGTAAAATTCTTTGTTCCAATCGCAATAAAATCAAATTCGTTTTCCGTGCATCATCGCTCGTATTTTTAATAGTAATTGCGTCCCGGGTTTGTGAAGTTTGAAAACCAACAAACAGAAAATAACTTATTCTAAAACACATTTTAAATTCAGTCGGAAATGAATTGCGCCAAGGATGCCATACAGAACAAAAAGGATTTAGTCGCGAAAGTCACATTAGATCACTGTAAAACGACGTCATGGTAGAACAAACAAATTTTAAAATAAAAAAAACAGGGGTGACGACTGAACGTAACGATAAATATCCCACATTTTAAACTAGGTACGATACGTGGTATTTAACACGTACAAGCTTTATCCAGAAAAGAAATGACAAGTCATATCGTTCCAATGTACTTTTAATTAGCTCCTTAGTGATCCCTCCCTTCCTTGACCAAGTAGTGTTTCGAAAATGTGAACATTTTACTCAGCCACGCTTGACGGTTGCTGTTTATTAAAGTCTTCTTGTCTTATGACCACGCAGAAATGCCTTTATTGCCGAATTATTTAATCACTATATAAAATCAACATTCAGGATTGACACAATCGCAGATTTGCTAGATTTATCTATAAAATATTACAGACACCATAGAAAAGCATATTGAAGTTGATTATCATCTCTATTAAATATCTGCATTCCGGTATCGATAATAATATTACTATTCGCTTGAAATTATCGCGGTAATTTTATAAACGTTGATAGGTGATATCAAGTAAACGCAAATGTTAGTTTGGGTTTTAAAATTACAGCTGTTGCCGATGTGAGCGCACAGGTAAACTTCAAATATAGAACTTCGCTCTCCGTCGATCGACAAGAATTCATACTTGCGAAAAAGAAAAAGTGTGAGAATATAAATTGCCAAATACAGCATATCGTCGCCAAAACGATTGAGATGACAAAAACAATTAGCGATCACAACGAAATTAACCAGGAAAATAGCATTATTGCCGATTTTTAATGTTTCGACCTACATTTTAGACTCCTGTTGTGTATAAAAAAAATATTTGTTATTTGACTATCCGGTATTCATTAAAAATATCCAATTAAAAAATAAAAATTTGATTTTATCCACCCCTACTCGAATATCAATGAGATGTAGTTGCGTTCAATCGCGAAAATCCGGGAAACGCCATGTGCATTTGCGGATAAAATAAAATGGCTGTTAATACGACATATGTGTTTTGTGAATTTGCTGATTTTGTGAATTTTGCTGATCTGTGAGACGCTGCTAAAAGTTCTTCTAATTCAAAAAATATTGGCCATTACTAAACAAAATATCAGAACTTTCTGAATGGCTCCAAGAAGTTCACTACGAAGAGAACAGAGACCTGTCGAACCAGCACTAGAAAATCACGCACTATGGTCACAATTCATCGATGTCATTGGTAGTCACATGACCAATCTCGTTCAAAGAAACGCACTGCGAAATATTCCAACATCTGGTTTCAAAGACACCGCCGATCGTTTTTCCGGAAGAAGCGGAATTGGTGGGCTTGTATAATAATCCCACTATATAAAAAAAATTTGCCAATAATGCGAAAGCTTTATCTCTCCTGTATGCACCACATAGGTTAGAATTCCAGCAAATATCGTTTTGTAATGTAAAATTGGGTCACAAAAGTACTAGTACGCAACTGTTTGTCAAACTCGCAAGAAAATATTAAAAAAGGTGCTATTTCGCAGGCCCTAAAAATATAAATTCGCAATTTGCGCAAAAAAAGTGCGCTAATAGTAAACACTGGTGGATACCTGTTTCAAAAACAAAATTCTACAAATAAAAGTTGATAGAACACAACTTTTAAGGTATTCTCTAATTTCTCAAATTTGCACTGAACGCTGCTTCAAAAATTAAAACATCTTTCATTTAATTTTTCTTACAAAAATGAACAAATATTTTCTGTTCGATTAATGTAAAACTGTAATGTAAAATTCTGCGATTTTATATGTAATAAGAGGGCATTGTTTCTTTGAACAAATTATTTTCAAATTTCTGAGGTAACCTTTCTGAGTTTATTTTTAGAAAATAATTTTTCAACCTCTCTCTTATATGTCCATTTTTCAAAAGTACACAGGCTTTCAAAATCGTTTACGGTTTTGTGATATCAGTCTAAAACAAGTTGTCTTGTATTATTTTGTTGATAACTTTACACAATATTAACATTTGAAATCGTTTGACACGGAGTGCCAATATACACATAGATTATTTGCGAAAAAAGCTATGTTACACAACTTGTCAGATATTCTCAAATCATTCAATTCCAATTTTTTTGTACGCTGCTCCTAAAATTTCGATAAATGTATTTTCAAATTTTTCATTTTATTAAGATGCTCCAATATTTGAAAAAATTTTTTATTCATATTATTTACTCGATGTACCATGTTTGCATTTTATTGACAAAGGTAGAAAATTAGAACAGAGAATATTT